GAATATTTATTCTTAGATATTCCATATCATATTGGAATCCAAGATGCCTACACACTGATAGGATACAGACATGGACATGGATGCAAATATCCTATCCACCACATTGAAACATATGCATTGTAGCGTGTAGGCCTAATGTATTACGCTGCAGCTTGTGCTGCCCTCCATCTGACAGCTGCCATTACGAAACTAGTAGATGTGTAGATACTTATATATAAGTTAAATACCAGATTGCCTAATGATAAGATTTCCATTTTTAACAAGTTCCTAGGAATATTTATTCTTAGATATTCCATACCATATTGGAATTCAAGATGGCTAAACACTGATAGGATTCATATATGGATATGGATGAAAAGATCCTATCCAACACATTTAAACATGTGTTATAGCTTATCTAGTGTGTAATGTAATGATATATCATATATCTTTATTATCTTAATAGTCAGGAATTAATGTAAATATCCCTTAGTTTTTTTGGTATTTAAAAATGGCTCCCATTTTTCATATTTTGTGCTCATGTCCCTTTTTTTTGTTTTTTATTTTTATTTTTTCTAGAGTGCCTTGGCTCAGAACTCCAAGTTCCGAACCTACCTTTTGGAAACTTTGTTGTAGTTCCGAACAGCACATTCACTCAAAAAATAGACAAGTGTCCATGTTTGAAACTTCAAGTTCTGAATCTAGGATGCTTGTGTGTTCGATGTGGGAATAAGTGGTTCGTAACTTGAATTTCTAAACTGATCTCACTCAAAAATACACGTGTCCTTGATTCAGATCTTCAAGTTCCGAATTGGGGACGCTTGTTTGGCTTTTGCATGAATAAGCGGTTTAGAACTACAAGTTCCAAACAGATGTCACTAAGAAAAAAGAAAAAGAAAAAAAACAGAGAGAGAGAAAGACCCAGAACTTGGAGTTCCGAAGCGGGGGTATTTTGGCAAAATAAAAGAAGGAAATGGGGACATTTTTTAATTGCTGCAAAAATTTAAGGGGTATTTACATTAATTTCTGTAATACTTATATACATGGTCTATGTTAGGCGTATCATATTTTATGTTCTTTATATATTGACAATGTACCCTTGTACATCACATCACAAATTTACTATAAACATATCATAAGTTTAGATACATCATAATGCTTGTTTTACGTTTTGTTCATAGTGTGTGTATCATTTTATATTGAGAAGTATCCAATATCAGTGTCAATGTTGTATCATATGAACACTGGTATGTTGAGCATAGGAAAGTATTCAATTATCTTGGATTATAATGATATTATATATATCAGTATTCATGTTGTTGTATAAAATTGGAATTTTGCTCTCAATAAACTTGTCTTGTATGCACTGGGTAGAAAGAGTACCCTGTTCTGCTTGGGCTTCAAACTTTGACTTAACCAAGTAAATGGTCCTATGGTGTTGGATTGGCTGATAGAGAATGCAAGTTGGTTTACAGATATTTCACATAATTCAATAGATCCTACGTAGAATATATTGCTTCTTCAGAATCACATACTTTGAATTCCTATTTATTATTTGTTTATTCTATGAAAGTACTTGCAAGCATGCTAGGATATCCGGGGGATTCATCGCTTATTCTGACTGTTACGTATGTTTGGTACAGTTCTGAAATATGAACGCTACAGGGCATCTAATATCTCTCTTTTCAGGTTGTTGCACTTTGTTGGAAAACCGGATCTTCCCAATTAGGCCTAACAGGAATGAAGAAGGTAACTTTATGTTGACATTGCACTCTGCAATGTAAATCCAGTTCAAATTAGGTCTTCCTATGAATATGTGCTTATTTCTCATGTGACTACAGATTGCAAAAGGATACAAGGAAGGCCAGAAAATAGGTGTTGCAGAGCTTGAATCCAGGGTTGATATCTATGTCAGTCCCCAAAGTCATACTATCATAACATTACTTTCAATGCATGGATTCTATAAGGGTGCGGCAGCTAACTTAGATGATCAAGATGCTTTAATCGACTGTGTTGTATGGAGAAGAAATCGTGCAACCTCATCTTCTTTGCCTAAAGCTTCAGAAACATATGTATCTCCCTTATCAAGACAATCATCAGATTCCCCTACGATCTCTAGCACCCCACATTCTGTAGAAACAAAACCTCCACAGACAAATAATTTAGAAGGGAATCAAGGTACTAAGCAGGTTACGATCAATAACCCCACACCAGATGCAATAACACAGTATATCGATAGGGATAGCCCTTCACAATGCTGACGCAGAACCTAACAAGAAAGTGCAACAAGCTAATCTTTTGTGTAAAAATATAACCCATAAGCAGACTGTTCATCACTTATCACCGGTTACTGTTGAAGGGTTATCTAGTTCAGTTCCAAAGGATCCCAGGACCAACTTCTTTAAAGTTGAGAAGCCCAATGTGCCCAAAGAACAAAGTAAGTTCGATGGGGCCACGAAAGTATCCAAAGATTTTCTTTCCGAACTATTTCATGCATTGATAAGAAATCCACATAAGTTTGGCAGTCCTAATGATGAAGATCTTCCAGAGTTTGACTTTGTTTCAGCTTGTGGGCTTCCTCAATTCCCCCTAATTGTGCCTCCTGTTATTAGCAATAAAGCAAAGAAGCAACCCCAAGTTGCAGAAACCAGTGATCCCAAATACCCGTTGTTTTCAGCATTGCCAATTTCAAGGCAGTTAGCAGTTGCACATCAACAAAATCTCCATCCTCCAATTCCTCTACCACAAGTGGAAGTAAATTCTCACCAAGAATCAAAGAAGAATGGGGAACATGAAATGAAGGTTTTGGTTTCTATGTCACCCACTACCGAAACAACTCTGAGTCTTTGCAGTAAAAACATCTTATTGTTAGGCTAAGATTTCATACAAAATGTTCACCTCTTTGGGGAGAAGGAAAACCTACAAAATGCCTTGAAATTGGTACACCTATTGCTAAAAGATTAACTTGATCAAGTTAATGTCCCTTCAAGCATGCAGAATATATGACAGAATTAATGTATGCATGTTAATTTATGATCCAAGAATATATGACAGAATTAATGTATGTATTTTAATCTTTTGGTACACCTATTGCTAGAATTACTGTATTCAGAATACCTTCAAGCATGCAGAATACTTGGATCAAGTTAATACATGTATATCCATATGGAAATACACCTATCAGAAAGAGGCCTCACAGTCAACCAGCTTCAAACGAGGGGCCTTCCCGTACCTAATAGACGTGTGATGTGCGCGGCTGATAAAGAATGCAAGGTCCACCTCTTCTTCCACTGCCCCCTAACTCGGGACCTCTGGGTTGCTCTCCTCCAACTGTTCAGTGGGCAATGGGTTGCACCTCAGTCGATCCCACTGCTTTTCAGGTCCCTTCACCCTTTCCCCCCTGGCCCAAATCTGGGATTCTCTTGTGGAAGGCATAGGCATCGGCATCGGCAACTCTCTGGGTCACCTGGACTGAGAGAAACAAAAGGATATTCCATGGTGAGAGGTCCTCAAAGGCAGCCATGTTCAACAAAATTAGTTCCCTGGTTATCTTTTAGGCAACCAACCAAGGGCTTCCACACTCCACCTTCATCAAGGATTTGCAAGCAATTCTCTTCTCAAGGAAGACCCGCATTCCCCATGCCTCCTTGTGGAGACCTTATCCAAGATAGACCAAAGTCCACTTTTACAGTTGCTCTCTTGGCAACCCTAGCCCTGCAGACATAGGTGGCTTATTTAGAGACCATACAGACCAGACCCTAGCCACTCTGATTACCAATCAGCAGAGGCCCTTGCCCTTCTTGAGGGCCTCAAAATGTTCAATCCCCAGTGGAGCCTTCTTTAATAGTTGAGGAAGATTCAAAGAATGTTATCAATTGGATTGGTTTTTCCTCAACAAATAACTGCTTGGGCCAACAAAATCCTACCTAATGGAAAGATGGTTGGAGAAGTGACAAACCCTATACTTTTCATTACAAAAGCTGCTGGGCCTCAGGTTCTTCTCCATGCCAAGGACACTTGCTGATATTTGATGATATTGCTCATATATATAGGTATATGGACATCTCATGGAGGTATATTTGATGCAAGGCCAACACTGTCGCTAAGAATGGAGCCAACAGCAGCATATCATAGCCTTTTTCATATCCTCTAATTCTCGCTTCATCTAACCTTGCGGGAGGATCTTTTTTGGACCTAGCTCTTATCTACTCACCCTTTTTTGGCCTATTTTTTTACGACTTTCTATTTCTTCCCTACCCAATAGAACAGTTAACAACTTCAAAAAAAAAAAAAATACCGATGTACCTCGTGACATTGGACTGCTGGCTCCAAAGTCAATTTCCCATGAAGGAGAAGCAATATTATATTCTCAGCATTCTTTGCTTTAAAGATTACATGCGTCTTCTTTTTTTATTGTTGATGGACAGGTCCAGATCTAGAGTTAAGAAATTAGCGATTATCTATTATTCTTTGAAATCATGTAGTGGGAGCATTGACTATTAGACATAAAAGGGGCTTTGCATGTGTAGATACCCAAAATTCACAGAACAAATATGAGAGCAAAACTTTAATGGGGCCTTCTCTTACTCATTCCAGCCAAGAGATTAATAACCCTGGAAGTATCTCTATGTTTCCACCTGTCATGAACAATACCATGTGGGAAACCACTTGTTTTTCTTTTTCCAATGGGTACCACTTGTTTCATCTTCATTTTCTACTTTGCTATCTTTCGCTTATTATTGTCATTACTCAGATGTTCGTTTTAATTTTCCTAAATGGTGCAAAATTGAGTGAAAACAATCATGACCACCAAAATTAAATTTTAGAATTTTCAGTTTTCCATTTTAAATTGCACAAAAATCTAAAACCCCAATTCATCTACTTAGAGTAGGCATTTGAGCAGATTAACATGCTTTAATTGAATTCAACTCTACCGCGAAAACATGACTATCTTCCCACCAAAAATATCCAATAATCATAGTTAATGGGGACAAAAGAAAAAAAGGTGCCATGTTACATACCTCTCTCCAACGGATATGACAAATACCCCCTTCAAATTATCTCATAAACACTCTGTTCGACTCTTTCCTTTACCAACCTACAACAGTCTCCATGAGACAATCATCTCGGGATCAAATTCTGCTTCTTTTTCTCCAAATTCAAAGCACATCTTCGCCTGTTATACTCATGAAGGCCCTCTTGCATCAATTCCCCAAATTTATCTTTAACAATAACCAGTGGATCTTTATCAATAAGCTCTGAACCAGAATAACCTTCTCTTAGAACAACTGTATGTATCTGATACCTGTTTGATACATAGAAAATTCCAGGGTGTTTCATTAGCATAATATCTAATCTATCTGGTAATATGAATTCTCTCTTAAAATGACCTAATTTCACAATTGAAGCCTTCTTCCACAGTGTTAACGATAGAATCTCATGAATCAACCCCACATCCCTCTTCTCCTTGAAGTTTTCATTTGGGAGCTCAGCATAAGGTGATATATAAGGTGATTCATTGAATTCTATGAATTTTTCCCATGATTTCTTCCAGGTTAAAGGCAATAAACACTGGAAACTTGGTGATTCTTTACCCTCCTCTTGAACTTTCCTCTCCAAAAAAGAGAGAGCCAAATTAGGGTCCCATGACAAAAGCTCAATCTCTAACCCATTCCTTTTACCACTGAAGTTGATGACTCTGAAGAGCTCAGGGTATTTTGGTATGATACTGATGAAATAATCATCTGGAAACCCGAAATTTCGCTTGAATTCATTGAATTTCATGGCATTGATCCTTCGATCTTTCGAAAGCATCAGAAACTTTGCAAGTCTCTCCACAAGAACTGGTTCCTGCCCTGATTTCACTATTTCTTCTTCTTCTACAAGGGCCATCATCCTCTTTGTTAATCTACACCATGGCTCATTCTCCTGCATAAAGGTCTCAAAACAACGCGGGTATTTCTTTATCCAGTTTGGGGCTTTCCCCTTAAGATCTAGGGTTTTGAACTTCTTCTGAAGGAACCGAACTGGTGTAGCCTGGTTAGGGCATCTTAGGATGATATTCTTGAGCTGGTTGTTCACTATCCATCGACGATTTCGAGAGAGGGCGGATTCTAGGGCTGGATCTTTCTTCATGGACCATGTCGAAGAAAAGTTGCAAAATATTAACAGAGATGGTATGGTCCCTGGTAGAAGCCATGAAAATTTAGGGTTTCTAACAACTCTATGAGCAATCATTTTTTAGGTTCTAATTACACGGAGTTCAAGCCATAGAAACTAACAAACATAAAAAATTTCATAAAAAAGCAACTCGTACCATTTCCTCCTTATGTATAAAGGAACAAGAAGCCAAGCTCTCTCTGCTCCATTTACAGGGAAAGAGATACCGTTTAAGTAGCAGAGAATGATGCGGAGAGAAGAAGGCGATGTATATTTCTCAATACTGTGTGCGGAGAGAAGAAGGCGATGTATATTTCTCAATCCTGTGTGGCGGGAATTTACAGATGTTCGACTGAGAGACAGAGAGAGGAACTCCACACGCAACGGAAGCGGTTAAGAGCAGAAAATCAATAATAAAGCCAAATGGCCTCTCACACATTATTCGGTTATCACACCATAAACATAGCCATTTAATTTGACATTAACGGCTAAAAGTGTGATTGTGACATGTGTTGAACAATACGGCCCAATAATAGAACCCGGCTTTAGGATGGGTCCATGTAACCCATAATCGGCCTGGGTAATTTGTTCGGGTCGGATGCTAGGAAACAAAGTGATTAAAAAATACAAAAAATCTCAAAAAATATAAAAAATATATTTAAAGTAAAATTAAACCAAACACATCTAAATGAGGTTAAGAAGTAGTGAAAAAATAAATCTTAAAAATTCAATTTGAGGCTAATGGTATTTTAAAATAATTCAAACAATATAAAAAAGATAAATGGAGCAATCTACAAATTGTATTAGTAAATAAAAGACCATTTTCAATGTTTAAAAACAAAAACAAAAAAAACTAGGCTTTTTATTTTTGTTTTTTGAGCGTATATACTCCCAAGGGAGCATAGTTACTTCTACTCCCTCAGTAAGAATCCCTAAGTAAGAAGATGAGATTTTTTTTCAATCCGAAATTTTGAGAACTACTTAAGAATGAATAGATGATTATTCTCAAATAAAAAATTTGAAATTATAAACTTTTTAACACTTCGATCTCACTATCTAAAAATTGGATGGTCCTATTCAATTTCGAAACTTTTATTTTTTACGTACATTAATGGTACAATTAGGAATTTTTTTGAGTTAATAGGTTACATTCCCAAAATTTAGAGTCATAATATATTTTTGGCCCTCACCCTTTTCTTTTTCTTTTTCTTTTTTTCTTTTTGATTATTTACCGCGTCGTGGACCAACAAAGATCCCATCGGCCAAACGCGGTTAGAAGTTAGAACAGTCGCAATTTCTGTCGTGGAGGGCGATTAATATGATAGGAAAATTTGGTGGTCCCTTAGGACTAAATTTTTCATTTGATTTACCCAAAAGTTTTAAAACATGGATGAAGTTTAAGGCTTATGATTTATGAAAACCAAAGCTTTAACCCAAATCATCATCAACAAAGTACTTTCGGCAATGAAAATTTTTATAATGGCTCTAAAATCAATTTTTAAAGATGGCAATAAAATTTGAAATTAAAAAATACACAGATCTTGCAAATCTTTGAACGCCTATTTTTAGAGTGAAATATACACTCTAGACAATTTGTTAAAATACATACTATTTTAGAGCTTAAAAACCTATTTTTTTTTTACAATTATAATATTAAAGACGAGATAATTGAAGTAAAAGTTTTCTAATGCTTTAATAATTTCACTTTTTGATGAGGTATGAGGTGAGGTTTTACTTATTTCGATAGGGCTACAGCCTATCAAACTATTTTCTTTAAAAAATTGGTCGATTTGGATCATTTGGCAGGTATGAGCTGATTATGTGGATTTGCCCAATTTTTTCTAATGGATTATGGAAAAGCTTTTTTTTGGAGTTTGTATAGACCCGAGATTTTAAACAATCAAAGTATATTTTCATCTTTAATTATAAAATTTAAAGCTTAAAAATAGTGTAGATCCAGCAGATCTATGAAAACCTAAAAATCATAAAATTTGACAATAAAAAAATACATCACAAAATGCACTATTTCCAAAACTGAAAATTTTTTTTTTTTTCTTTTCATGTCCATGCATCTTGATGTCAAGATGATCAATTTGATGATATTTGGACATCAATACAACTTCTTATAGTCAAATTTTTTAGTTGGGCTCTAATTTGATTGTTTAAAGCCTCGGCTCTATATAAATCGTTTTTCATAAAAAATTGTCATGTAGTATTTAAGTCATTATAAAAAGGAAAAAGTCTATATAGAGCCGAGGCTCTAAACAATCAAATTATAGCCCACCTCAAAAATTTGACTAGAAGAGGTTGTATTGATGCCTAAATATCCTCAAATTGATCATCTTGGCATCAATATGCATGGGCATGAGGAAAAAAAAAATGGATTTTAAGTTTTGAAAATGATGCATTTGGAGGTACATTTTTTGACCGTCAATTCTAAGATTTTCATAGATATGCTCGATCTACACTATTTTTTAAACTTTAAATTTTATAATTAGAGGTGAAAATATATTTTAAGGCTATCACAAAGATTTTCAGTATCAAAACCACATTTTTCGATACTACTTGAAGGTGTGCTCTACTTTGAGCGTTAAAAGCCTTAGGTCTATACAAGCCGCACCCATTTTATATTTTTCATGCCTCGATCACAATTCGGCAGCTCTAAATGACTAGATCACTAGTTGGCCCATCCGCAGCAGTATCGTGGGTGGACGATCCAAGACATGACTCCAAATCTTAAAAGACAGGACCTACCGAAAATAGGTTCATCAAGAATTTTATGGACTCCAAATTCCTCAAATCGTGATACTTATCTTGATCCAAGATCAAGTGATTCAAGAAAGTGATTTAGAAGTTTGCAAATGCCTCGCATCGCCCACACACTTAACCTTAGGCTCATCAATTTTAATAAATGTAGGGAACTTTCGCTGACATATTGGGATTATATATTTTGCAATCATTTATCTTTGTTATAAAGAAGCAATAATTACTATTAACTATTAAATTTTAAATTTGATGGCTTGTGATGGGTCATAAAGTGTTAAAGTTTGTGAAAGCATACACACAAATATTAACGTAAAGAGAAGAAGAAGATAAAATGGATAACACAAGATTTACATGGTTCATGCATAAGCTTTACGTCTACGGATCCAAAACTCTAACTGGCTACATCTTCATTATTTTTTAATAAAATATTACACAAATACATAAAGAACACAATTACAATGAATCTTGTAGACATAGGAAAGTAATATGAGGCTTATCACCCATAACCAACTTGACCAAGCAACTCTATCTTCAACATTGTCAATTTAACTTGGTTTATCTTCAATACTCCCTCTCAAGTTGGTGCTTGGTGATAACCAACTTGACCAAGCAATTTGACTTGGTCTATCTTGAACACTCTCCTGTTGTTTATCTTGAACACTCCACACTCCCCCACACTCCCCTTCAAGTTGGTGCACAGAGTGAAAGTTGGGTCTATCTTGAACACTCCCCCCTCAAGTTGTCTATCTTGAACACTCGACACTCCCCCTCAAGTTGGTGCTCCCCCCTCAAGTTGTCTATCTTGAACACTCAATACTCCCCCTTAAGTTGTCTATCTTGAACACTCAACACTCCCCCTCAAGTTGGTGCACAGAGTGAAGCAAGTTGGGTCTATCTTGAACACTCCACACTCCCCCTCAAGTTGGTGCACAGAGTGAAGTAATTGCCCAACTTTGTCTATCTTGAACACTCCCCTTCAAGTTGGTGCACAGAGTGTTGAACACTCCCCTGAAGTTGGTGCCCAACTTGCCAAACTGAAAATAGAAAGGTTATTTTTGCTTGGCTCTTTTGCTCTGGAGCAAATGTTTTCTTACGGCACTAAGTGGGCCGGAGGTTTTGCCAAACTGAAATTGGAAAGGTTATTTTGCCTTGACTCTTTTGTACTGGAGCGGATGTTTTCTCACGGCACTGGGTGGACCGAAGGTTTTCTTTTGCTTTGATAATTGCATGGCACGACACTGAGGGCGGGAGGTTTTTTTTTATTTTTTTTCTTTTTTTCTTTGCCATGTTAGAGAGAGCATGAGCATGAAGGTTTTTTAGTTTGAGAGAGCATGAGCACAAACATTGAATGTAAAGAGAAGAAGAGATATAACATAAGATTATAGAGAAAGAAGAAAAAAAATAACAAAACATTAAGATTATGGAGAGAGAATAAAGAAATAACACAACAAGATTTACGTGATTTAACCGGAGAAGAAAAGAAATAACACAACAAGATTTACGTGTGTTTCAGCGGGAGAAGAAAAGAAATACCACAACAAGATTTATGTGATTTAGGCGAAAGCTTTACGTCCACTGATCCAAAGCCCAATAGCTACATATTTATTATTTGGATAAAATATTATAAAAATACGTGCCTCTATATTTATAGAGGCCGATTACAATGAATCTTGAAGATAGAAGAAAATAATATGAGGTCTATCACCAACAACCAACTTGACAAAACAATTTGACTTAGTCTATTTTGCAACCACGTGATTTTAAATTTGATAGACAATAATACTTGTGATCTCCTTATACCATATGTAAACGATTGGTTTCCGTATTTTTCCATATATATATATTTTTTATTAAAACCGATTACAAAGTTTGAAAGCGAATGGAGGTGAATATAGAGGTTTTATAAGATAAACTATGGAAAGTCCACGCGTCTTTCCCGAGAGACCACATGTATAATTTGATAATGCGCGATCGCCAGACACCCGGTCTTCCCCTTCTCTCGTTTTTTAAAACACAGTCCTCATCTTTATTCATAATTACCCATCCGTTTCATATTGATCACCGCGAAGTACTGCGCTCGAACACACATGCACGTCCCAGACACCAACTGCGCATCCTGCCATGTACCTCGTCCTCTCTCTCCAAAACGCAAAACCCAAAACCCAAAGCAAAGAAACGCGATCCCTCTCTCTCTCTAAAACCCAGAACAAAAGGAACACGACCCGTCTTTCTCTCTCTAAGACCCAAAACCAATAGGAGATAAAAAGATCAGAGATTACGGCACGACCAAACCTTTTTGTCCCTTGCAATTCTCGCTCACCTTTCGCCATCCGTCATCATCTGCAACAAATTGCAGAGAACAGTGAAAGAGAAAATTCAGTAAAAGAGAGAGCAAACCCTAGCTCAACAAATTCTCTCAGATCCCCTTATCCGCTATGTCCACTGATAGCGATGACATTGACGAGGATGAGCTCCTCCAAATCGCGCTGAGAGAGCAAGCACAGCGGGAACTCCCTTACCAGAGACCGTCCTCAGCAACTTCGAGGCCGTCACGACCAGTAGTTAACCTGATCCAGCCTCCTCCTCCTCCTCCTCCTCCTCATCCCTCTAACAAGAGGGGAGGGGCAAATCCTAAAGCTAGGGATTCGAAGAATGCTCGAAGGGCTATGGAGGATGATGACGATTCAGAAGTGGAGCTTCTGAGTATCTCTTCGGGGGACGAGGATTCCTCGTTGAGGGATAAACCTGTTGCGAAAGCTGGAGGCCATGGCAGGAAGGGGGGAAGGGATGAACCGGTGGAGAGAGGGTGGGATGGTGAGGAGCCAAATAGCTGGAAAAGAGTTGATGAGGCTGAGGTATTTGGTTAATCTTTCCCTCTCTAGCTTTGCTCTCCAACTTTATGTTGCTCTCCTTAAATCTCTCTGGAGTATGTCAAATTGTAATCTCTCCCTCTAAACCTCCTCAGACTAATCCCTTTTTTTAACCTCTTTCACCCTTTTTTTTTTGTCCATTCTTCTTTCTCCTCAACATCTTTGTTGAACTCTAATAATCTAACTTTTCTCTCTATTCTCTCTTACTCTGAATCTTTCTCTGATTACAATTCTCACTTCTTTTGTATTGACTGATTTGTGGCTCTCTGTCTCAGTTCTATATCACTCTATTGTTGTTGTCACATTATTCTCTCTCTAATTATATCTAAAACTATTTTGAACATCTGTTTTGTGTTATTCTCTTTTTCTACAACTCTATCTCTCTTTCTGTTTTTATTGTTTGATTTTGTGCTTTACAATTTTTTTTTCTCATTTTTGCTTCTGGTGCTTCACTGTTTATATAACTCTATCTCTCTTTCTGTAGAATAACTATGGTGGATTTTCAATGGGGATAATGTGGCCATTCATGCTTATAGTAGTCCAACAAAAATAGTGGGTGATTGATATAAAAAAATGAGATATTACTGGTATTTCCTAGCATAGGTGGCCAAGGTAGCCACTTTTTATGTAGCGTGATATATTTACTCTTGTTGTCCATAACTCACTTTCCTCAATTATTATTGTGAACATGAGTTCATCGTTAATTGAATGACATGTAGATGTTACTAGTTGCGCAGTTGTTGACATGTTGTTCCTGGTTCTACCCATGTGGTGTTTTGGTTATATAACATTGAAAACAATGTTGTCTCTTTTTCTTGATTTCTTTATGCAGCTTGGTCGTAGGGTACGTGAAATGCGAGAAGCAAGGGCAGCACCAATAGCCCAATCACATGACCTAAAGGCAGCAGCTATGGCTCGAAAGGGACTCACTAGTTTACAGTCTTTACCTCGGGGTGTAGATTTTGTGGATCCACTTGGACTTGGGTAAACTTATCCTATGTTACTAAACGTAAATAAATACTTTTCATGTACATTTTTTTCGCTAATTAAAATAAATTTATGGTCAATATATACTTCTTGTATCCTCTTTTCTTTTTGCAATTTGTCTTTCGAAAGCGCCAAAGTACTCCATGTAGTTTTTTTTTTTAATATATATTTGCATATTTAGTTGGGTTAGAAGGTATCAATAATCAATCACTGTTTGAAAATGTTGGTGAGTTTATTCGACTGGCTATCTATGAGATGAGACCAAGCAGTAATATCATGAATGTGTTTTTTGTTTGTCAAGAGAAGGTTGTCTATATATTAATATTGTAACTATTAAAATACAAAAAACCCCTGTAGGCAACCATGCTGACGGGTGCTCATGTACGAAAAATGGGGTAGGCATAATCGAAGAAGTACAAAAAGTCCTCACCTTACGAGTAGTAGGTTGTAACAACTGCTAAAGGAAAAGATGATGACAGGAGAGGCAGATAGGGGAGGAGGGAGAAGAGAGAGAGAAACAATAAAGAGAGAAAAGATGAGACAGAGAAAGGGTGGAGAGAGAGAAAAAGCGATTTTTAAGTGTTTGGCCTGTTGACCTGTATAAGCAAGCTGATAACAGCGTGGATATTGATTGATATTTTAAACTTTTTACATGTCAGTTTAATATAAGTGTGTCCTTGTTTGAAATATGATCATGATTTGCGAGAGTTCTAGAGCCATGATCATGAAGGATTTATTTATGCATACTTTAGGAACTATAGGATGAGTGCAAAATGCCTATTGTATTAGGAAATTAGAATTTATTAGGTCTTGCATAATCTAAGCCTAAGTCTCTGTCAAATTATTGTACACATAATCCATTCTTAGTTCAAATTTTCTATTGGAGAGCTACAAAAAAGTACCAGTCTCGAGCAAGATCGATGCAATCCCAGGAACATGAAATTAGAAGCACTTTCTATGTTCGTATAGTAGCTTCCATGGTAGCAAACTCCCAGATTGCTTGTGAGACAAATATTGTGTAACTCCTGATGCATATTCATTATATTTGAGACACATCAGTGGCATCTTCCCCTTCCACAGCTACTTGAGGTTGTTGAATTGACCATGGTTTGGAATCGGCAGATAAAATTGAATGCTTCTTATGTGATTTGGGGGTGGTTATTATGTTTTCTAAACTATAAATTGCTGATACATTTCCTGCTTGTGGGGTTTATATGTATTGCTTCATATATCATAGGCATATTAAACATTTTAAATTGATCCATGGCCTACTAGAACCGTTGGCTCTAACATGACATTCAACTTCTGATTAGAGTTCTTAGACTTGTTAATCTGCTTAGGTGTGACTACCTTTTCTAGAATAAAATTGTTTGACAGTAAATTATGAATTTTAACATTATGTATCTTGACCTTTAATGTTTAACAGTTGAATGCTTACCAATTTTTATTCCCTTCTCAGCTTGTGGATATAGTACCTTAGTTTCTTGTTGCCATCTCCGAAGTAACTTGCTTTGCATATTGGCAGGATTATAAACGTGAAAAATTTAACATTGGTCACCGATGCCCCAGACAGCACTCCAGCTTCGTCAAGGGATAAGCTTGATGTAGAGACTTTAGATCAAAAGACACGGGGTATCCAACTGTTCCCCCTTACATTGGACTCCATAGATATGCTGTTTGTAGCTTCAGTTTTATATATGTGGATATGTGATTCTTTCTGTTTGCACCTAAATCCGTTAAGCGGTCTTAAGTTTGGGATCGATATATATGGAAGTGCGTGCAAGCACTCATGTGCGTGTGTATCATTACTTTGACATTGATGTTACAGTTTAATTAATCTTATGTTTATTCATATTCATGTTTTATCAGATGACATGCTGGATTCTGGTTCTTTCATGTTTTTCCTTTTTGGGGGTTGTGATTCTGTTGGTGGTGATTGTCCGCTGCCTATATAGGCAGCATAGTTTAGGAAAATGCTGTGAAAAGTTATTCTAATGACTAAGTATAACTGTATTTTGACCTGAGGTGTGCTTTAAAAATGAGCTGTGAATGATGTAGTTCTATGATCTTTATTTCTTGAATTGTTTGATATTTATAAAACTTTAGAAATTTAGAAATATAACTATATAACAAAAATGTTGGATGGCATGTTTATTTTTTGATGAGCATTGTTCTCATTGAAATAAGTTTAAAGAGTTCTCTGAAGAAGGATACTTGATACACAGTTAACAGCATAAAAAAAAAAAGTTTTTTTTTTGTTAACGAAGTTTCATTTATAGGAACTGATGTGAAAGTGTCTGGTTTCTCTTACATTCCTTAAAAACTTGTGTGTGGGCTCTCTTTATTTCTTTATGAAATTGAGTCTATGTACAACCAGACTTTATCAGCAAATTTCAAAACAGAGTTGCACTAAATCAGATTTCGACACTCCTTATCTGGCTAATCTATCATCTTCATCATCAGTCTCTCTTTATCCTTGGCTGAATTTCATCCCAAGCTTTCCAAAACGATGCCATATTTCTTCAAACACATTATGTACATGCGATGGGCACTCCTTGCTGCTTGCCCTATCTATACCACTGCTGGAATCTCCCTCCGTAATCATCTTATCCCTTCCAGTTTCCATACATCTAAACTAACAGAGTAAGGACCTAGCTTCCGCCTCACGTGAGCCACAAAACTGGAGAGGCCCCGAGTAGGGCATTAAGACCCCTAATGATACCTCACTCAGCCACCTATCCCAGGTCTTGGATTCCCTCTCAAACTATCGTTGAATTTCAACTTCACTATCTTTTTCTTCTTTTGTTCTTTTTTTTTGTTTTTGTTTTTTTTGTTCCTTTTTTTTATGGGGTGGAGTGTTGTGCTCCTCTTTCTTGGCCTTTGCCTCTCTGGAATATGCAATTGTGTGCTATTGTGTTCCAAAGTTATTTGAGACTATGCCCCAAACCCATCTAATCCTTACCCATGGTACTGTGGTCCAGATGTGTTCCTTCATACAAAGTTATTGAGACTATGCCCCCTAAAACCAACTAATCCTTACCCATGGCACTGTGGTCTGGATGTATTCCTTCATACAATCCACTGGTTTTTGTCCTTTATGGTACATTTGGTTTGTGGGAAATTTATTTCCAGGAGAGAGAGTTCCCACGAGATGTGAAACTGGCTTCATAACTCCCAAGGTATGAATCTGAGGTATGAATCCACTTCATACCTCGCAAAGTATGAAACTGCTTTCTCGCGAAATGTCACTATTTTGTATGGTGGTGTGAACTGTGGGCGCTTTCATGCCAACCGCTTTCCCATGAAACAACATGGGAAAGCGGTGGTGTGGCAGAAGAATCTCTTATGGGGACAGATTTCTTATGACCAAAATATGCCCCAAGAGATTTCCTAGGAATAAAATATGCCCCAAAGCATCTATGCTTTCTCTTCAAGTGAGCCATATGACAGCCAGCAGATTTAGTCTTCGTAATAGCTTACCCTTTTTGTCAATGGAGGGAGGTACTAGGGATGTAACAGATCCTCAACAGAGGACATTACCATCCAAGATATAGCAAATAGGTCTAGGACAAAGGTCCAAATAAGTTAAAAAGAGCAATGGGGAAACAAGTGACACACCATTTCTTCATCCAGCTTTCATCAACCAAATGTTAAGGATTGGCAAAAGCCCTTTTGACAAGTTCTCCATAGTCAACGCTCTAACTAATCCTGCGAGCCAACAAACACCCCATCTTTGGTGGGCCTGGGATGGACCATACCCTATGAACTATAGAGTTATCCCCCGTGTAACTGTACACACAGATCGATATGAGAATTCTCTTGTACTTTCAGGAACCTGCTCCATCCTATGCTCCAACCTCGGCATAAGGTAGAGGCTGTGTGGTTGCAGTTGCAGGTTTTTTGAATGCTTCAATCCCTTTGGTAGTTAAGGTTTTCCCAAATGACTGAGTCCACATAGCTTACTGGCCCACTCCCTCCATAATCTCTTCCACTGTTATGTTTACTTTCGGAACCAGGGCAAACAACTCTGGTCATTCTTCTTTAAGTGTTGACTTGCTAGTTTACCAGCATTCTTACATTACCCTCAAAACTTGCTCTACGGCATTCGATTCCATTCCATATGCCTGAAAAGCCCCATGCCCCATATGCTTAAAGCATCCCTCCGTTTTCATCCACTATGTATTTCTATTCCACTACTTTCTTTGCATATGTTCAGATTGAGAGCAAAAATGCCCCCCTCACTTCAATTAAAGAGGCTTGTTCATTGCCATTGTAATTCTGAACCTCCTTGCTTTAGGTTGGCCTACCTTCACCAAATTGATTTTAGGGAAAATTACAAAAACCACCCTTGACCGAATTTTATTTACAACTTACCCCAACCAATGTTTTTATTGCAACGTTTACCTTAAAACAAACTTTTCTAGCAAATACCCCCTTAGCCAAAAAGTTATAGTTTTTAGGACCAAAATGCCCTCTCTCTCTTCTAACACTGACTAAAATTTTCCCATAACACACAAAAAAGGCTGTCCAGCAGTATAAACAAGCGGTCTGGCATTGACAAAGAACAGTCCGGCAATAGGCCCATGCAGTTCAGCACTAACAAAGAACGGTTCGGCAATAGGCCCATGCGGTCCGGCACTGCCAAAGAGCAATCTTGCAATAGGCCCATGCTGTCCGACAACAGACCCATGCGGTCTGGCAACAAGTCCAAAGTGCGGTTTGGCAATATCAAAGAGCGATCCGGCACTTTTTCTAGTTTAACGGGGTCCGGTAGCCCATGTCGCTTTTGGTACTGTGTAAGCCCACAAGAATGTCCAGCAAAAATTAAATTTTTATGTAGGAAAAAAGGTATTTTAGTAAAAAATGTGCCTTTTTTTTTACTTGGGGGTATTTGCTAGGAAAGCATATTTTGTGGTAAAAAGTGAGAAAAAAAGTTTTTGCATAGGAAGCCTATTCTTGGGGGTTATTTGTAATTTTCCCTTGATTTTATGCCTTCCATGATGACCGGCTCCACAAAATTCCTTATGAACTGTTTTTTTATTCTTTTCGCAACTGAAGCTGGATTTGTAAACATGACATGTACTAGATGGGTAAATGGACTTAATGAAGGTAATCCTCCTACCCATAGGCAAGTACCTGGTCTTCCATGAGTCATACTTCACTTTGAATCTTTCTAGCACATTTGTGCACATTCCTTTAGTTGGTTTACCCACACACAAAGGTAAACTTAGATATCTACTAGGAGGCCTATCATCATCACTAACCCAATCTCGCTAACTCGTACCACTTGTTATCTGAAATCCCCAGCTCCTCAGAACATTGTCTTTTCCATGTTTACCTTGAGTCTTGATGCCACCTCAAAACACTTGATGTCGGGAAATAATTAATAAACCTGAAAAATAAAAAGAAACAATAAATCAATGAGAGTTTATAATGCCCTTTCTCAGGGTTTGCAAGGGATCTCGCCCCAAAAAGATCTCTTCACAAGATCCAAAAATAAACTCTTATTATTTGCATTTTTTTTTTCATTATCTAACTATATATTTATAGTAGAAAAGAACTGATGCAAATAAAATTTATTTTTTATTTTTATATTTTTCTAGGACGTAGAGTATAAATTATTTGGATTTTTAGTTTTCTTTAGGGTTATTCTTGTCTTTTTAAGTTGTAGAGATTTAAGGAGTAGAATTAAAATTTTAGCTTTTTTTTTTGTAAAAATGGATATGGATAGGGATTAACATGGTTCAGTTGGTTTGGATATGTTATAGATAAGGGAGCGATAAAGTTTAGTTATTTTCATTTTCATTTTATTTATTATTCCTTATAAGTTTGTATTTAAGGGGAAAATGTATCTTCTTTGTAGAGATAGGTGATTGGAGAATACAGAGAGAGTTTGATCTTGTGAAATGATCTTGCGGTGGATCCCTTGCAGACCCAGAGAAAGGTTATAATTTCTCAAACCTTTATTTTCATTTTTATTTTTTTAGTTTATTATTTTTCACTGCATTAGTTAGTATCAGAGCCTTGAGATCCATGTTGATCACAAACAACTGCTGATCTAGTTATCGAGTGGATAGATCAAATATATCAGTGATTCAATAAAAAATTTGAGAGACTTAAATAAGACTTGACAGAACGTATCAGCAATGTAATACAATAAAGTTTACAAGATGTATTTAGTAGATTGCAACAGGATGAACAAGAATATGAAGAGGTAGATCTCGATACAAACGAGATGTCGATAGCCCAAACGTGCAAGAAATTTTGTAAATTAATTATGAAGAAGATATGTGTGATGCAATAATTAAAATCCAACCCTTTGAGTCTGAAGGAGAAATTAAGATTAAGCTTGAGATCCCAGTGTTTTACTTCAAGTTGCACACAAATTATTTGACGAATTGGTTTATTGAGAAGGCCTCTGAAAGATTTATGTTCAACAAGCTCGAGATTGAGCTTCTCCCAAACCTGGGAGAATGATGCAAATAAAAAATGATTTATAATTTTTGATTTTTATATTTTTATAGGACTTAAAAACTATGTTATTTTGATTTTTAGTTTTCTTTAGAGTTATTTTTGTCTTTTTAAGTTGCAGACATTTAAGGGGTAGAATTGAATGTTTGGTTTTTTTTTTT